CACTGTATGATAAAGGCACTATGCATGAATGTATGTATTTGTTTGTTTATTTGTATGATTTTATTCTATTTCTTTTTCTTCTTTAATATCATATTTTTTATTTAACATATAATATTATAAATAATTATTATTGGTACTGAAATCTAAAAAAAAAAAAATTTAGAAAATGTTAACATTTTAAAATATTATTATTAATAATTGAATTTATTATTTTTGTATTTATTATCATTTTAAATCTTATTTTATTAGCTGATTACAGCAATGTGAAGTTTAAGATAAATGCATGTATCTATCTATCTATCTATCTATCTATTTATTGAATTGTTTATTTCTGTTTCTTCTTTATAATCATCATCATATTTTATTGTCACCATTTTTATTAAATATTACAATTATTAATAATTCAAATTAAACAGCTTATATAAATGTGTCTTATATAAATGCATTTATTTATTGATTTAGCTATATTACTATACGATTTTCTTCTGTTTCTTGTTTAATAATAATAATTCTTGTTGTTGTTGTTGTTGTTGTTGTTATTATTATTGATTCTTAATTTAATCTAATATTACAATTATTAACAATTTAAATGAAATAGATTTTTAAGCATATTTTATTAGTTACAAGAATGTGAAGTTTAATATGTGAAGTTTGAGTCTTTTTAAGTTGATAATTCAAATTCCTTGTGTGTGTAAAAATACTTGGTGATAAAGCTCTTTCTGACTTCTGACTTCTTTTGAATCTGTTGAGTTTATGCAAAGAAATTCTGTAGTATGTGCGTATTATGTAAGAAATTAGTATTTTCAGATGGCTATTTCTCTCAGAATTCCCCCTAAACGATGTGAGACGTCATCAGTTCCTGTGCTTTCTGTCATGGCATGTCCGTTGTGAGCCACTGTGACGCCACTGGTCTCTAGAGCTGACCTGAAGAGAGAATGGACAGCGGAACAGGCCTCCAGAAACCCATCACATCCACCCACTGAATGCACAGAGAACAGTGACCCCTCCTGACCCCACCCCATGTTTACCACAAGACGCAAGCTTTCTATTTGTCTCTCACCCGCTTTAAACTCAACTGAGCTGGAACACTCGCAGGCTTTGTGAACTAAACACTTTGATAGCTCCTCTTTTTCTCTCATTGTCTCTCTCTTTCCCTCAGCGTCTTGAATATTTTCCACAGCAGCTCTCTTCCATCCTTCACAAAGCTGTCATTGTGGAGCGATCATGGCGTGAGGGGGGGTTCATGAATGTCTGCCGTAGAGTCAGGCCACAGTGGGCCGCTCTCACAGCACACAAACACTGACAGATGACTCACACTTCCGAGGCGACCTCCTGCTCTCAAATCATCATTTATTCTGTACATCATCCGCAGATCTGTTAGAACGAAGATGTTGAACATGTCAGCATCTGTGGATTCATCTGCACATAAAATACGGAGCTGGCATCACTGTATTGTTACAAAAAAATTTTTTTACACACTGATATTCCTACAGTGGCCTCAAAAGTATTTGGACACTTTTAGACACTTCAAACACAGGCACCGCCCGAAGTGCTCATTTATAACTGCCCATACAGTGAAAAATAATAATAAAGTTGGCATAAATTTAGACAATTTTATATATTTTCATATAACATATATACAATATAAATCATTTCTTATTTCTATTAATATAGTACAACGTTTTTCTACCCCCATTAGCGTACTGTTAGATGTATAAACCTGAAAATATAAAAATAATTAGTGATTATTTTCACAAATATGAATCCTGACTATGTTTTAGAAAGCAGCATGAAACAGTAATGTAAATACAATTCTGTAAATGTTAATTATTTATTTATTTCATTTATTATTATTATGACCTTTTTGAAGCTACTTTGCATTTGGCTTTTCCATGGACTTATCAGTGCTATTTTAGCATCATTGATATACTATTATAGATTTTTGATAATATTTTTTAATTCGATTTTATTTTAATATTTTCTGTTTTCATGTTTTAGTCATTTTGTTGTGTGTTTTTATCATTTGTAATAGTTTTAGATTTTTCAAATATATATTTATATTCATCTTTATTTATTCATTTTAGTTTATTCAGTTTCAGTTATTTTAGTTTTAATTTACTTCAAGTTGAACTAAACAAAAATGGCAACTAGCTGAAATAAAAAGTTATATTTTTTAAATATTTAATTTAACATTTATTTGGTTTCAAGTGATGAAAATATTTTATATAGTTTTAGTTTTGGTTTTAGATCACAATAACAATGGACATTTTATTTCCATAGGGCATTTTATTTCCTATTGTTTTAGCATTTAAAGCCTACCATAAGTAATTTTTTTGCTTGATAAGGGTGTGTTGTGTTCTTTTTTTAAATAAATAAATACACTTATATATTTTATATTTACATTTAGTCATTTAGCAGACGCTTTTATCCAAAGCGACTTACAAATGAGGACAATAAAAGCAGTCAAAACTAACAAAAGAGCAACAACATATAAGTGCAAATGACAAGTCTCGGTTAGCCTATTTATTTATATTATAAATAAATAAATAAAATAAATAGTTTTGTTATACTGTTTAATCCAATAAAATTTACACATTTCAGTGTGGCTTCAGTATCCAAATATTTGAGTGTAATACGTCATACTTCAAAAGTTGCAACCCATGAGAAGCTTGTTTCTTCTTTATCTGACACAAAACTAGCAGACAAGCACATGGTCCTTACTGCGTAAACATGCCTCAAACAGGCAAAGAGAGCCAGAGGAAGTCAGAAAGCGCTGCGTAAAAAAGCCCCGGGCCAATCGTGGCATTTCAGCCCACCGTGATGCAACCTGCTCTCTGGGCAGACAGAAAGAGTGAGAGCGACAAAGCCAGAAAGAAAGAGGAAACAGTAGAAAAGGGATAGAGGAAGGGAGAATGAAAAGCTGCACCGCTCTGTCAGGAAAGGTCAATTACTAGCCTAAACCACGGGGGACGTGTGTTGCCCAGGAAGTGCCTTCCGACCCCCAGCCCTGGCAGGCTGCACCATAACAGTCACAAACCTCCCGTTGCCATGGCAGCATGACATTTGTCACCATTCAAATGAGGCCCGGACCTGACTCAAACAAGCCAGGCCAAAAGCCTAGTCTTGTTTTGCCTAAATAAACCTCCAGCAGAATTACAAAAACATTAATGTAACCTGTAGTACTTTACGATCAGTCAGCAGCAGGTGATGTGGCCCCTTACGAAAAAGAAGTTTATTCAAGTGTGCTATTAGTATACTTCTTTTAAACTTAAAAATAGGAAAGTATACTTTTTGTCTACTTTTTATGTACTTCTCAGAAATGGGCTTTATGTACTTCTCAGAAATATACTTAAAATTACATTTAAGTATACATGACTTATACTTAGAAAAAGTCTAAATATATTTGAGCTATAATTGTGCTCCTAGAATCCGTGTTTTCATTGTTATACTGTAGGGGCGCTAGTACACATCTTCTGTACGGAATTTCCAAAAAACACAAGTGAAGAAGAAACCGAAACAACAGACGCTTCCACATGTATTCTAACACGATCATCAGACATAAAACAGTATCAAAACTGTGTAACATTATGGAATAAAATGTCGACCAATGAAGAGTTAATAATAACTGTCAAGCTTTGGGGTGTGGATCGACTTTATCTACGTTATATGTTCAGATATTCATGTAACAAAATATATACAAATTAATACCTAAACAGGGACATAGTAGTATACTTAAAGTATGGTGTAAAGTTCACTTAAAGAAAACTTACGAGTATGCTTGCAGTACTAAACTAGTAGTTTACTAAGACTATACTTCAAAGTGTACTAAAAATGCTACTACAAGTATTTAATTAGTAAACTATCAGTATACCTATAAGTTCACTTTTAGTATAGTTGCAGTACAAACTAAACATTTTGATGTAAACTAGTTGTGTACTCAAAGTTTCCTACTGTTCTACTTAAAGCATACTTAAAAGTATACTTTTATATACTAGAAAGTGGGCCAAATTAGTCCCAAGGAGTATTGAAATAGTACACTTACAAGTATACTACTAGTGCACTGATATTTGTATACTTACTACATAAAGTATACTTAAAAATATACTTGAACTTTACTTAAGTATACTTACTAAAATAAACTTGAAGTATACTACTTTTTGGTAAGGGGCTGGAGGAATGGAAGTGATATTCATAAACTGCCTTCAAATAAAAAGCAATTAGTGAGATTTGTAATGTAAAGTTCAAGCATTTATAAAGCTAACAGAGGAAACAACACCAAACCCACACAGACTCCCAATGAGCCATTAGAGAGAGGCCAGAAACACAAAGACATAACTAAAAAGTCCGTCGGGTCATAAACACCCAAATTAAACTAATTACTGCAGTAAATATCTCATTACATTGATTATACATACATTAGATGCCACGTAAAAATGATTAGTTAAACAACTGTAAACAATTTGTTGGTCTTCCTTCGTCGTGTCAAAGTTTGATTTTATTATCCAAGTTGTTGTTTTATTCTGGTTTTATATTAGCCTGGTTTATAAAGTGTTGTCAAGATGATTTGTTTTAAATAATCCATGTCTATTTATTTTCTTTAGTTGATGATGAATGTTGCAATTCCACAACTATGCATAACAGGACACATAACAGTCAGGGGTTTGCTTAGAAAAGTACGTGTGATCACGGATAATGTTCAAAATTCAAATGAAGACATTTTTACCCATTAACAGAATAGAAATGTAGTTTGTGAAAGTAGACAGAGGCACGTCATGCACTCATTCCTCACCTTTTACATCAAGACAAAACAATGTTGCCATCTAGTGGTGAGGAAATATTGTTATATTATATTATATTATATATATATAAACATTTTCAATGTGTTGTCTCAACTTGGTTAAAATGTAAAGATATTTACAGTCAATTTAAGCCAATTATTGCACAGATTTTATTTGACCTCACCAGATGAAAAATATAATAATTTTGTGTAGTCAGAGAAAAAGAAAAGCCATAACAACTTTTACATGAATGCAACAACTATTACAGATTACATAGATGCAGTTTCTAGTATGGCAGATATCAAGTAACATTATGTCATTATAGAAAACAATGAAAACTACTAATTGTCCAAAGATATAATCACAGTATGCAGACATTACATATACAAATCTGAATATGGAAACGATAAACTGCTATTATGTCTATTGCTGTGTTTTAAAATGTGTGAGCATGTTTTACAAAGCCATGAAACCATAAAGACAACATTAGAAACTTGTAGATTTACATTAGAATTCAAATTTTAAACAGGAATACAATAATGCCCTTCATGCTAATGTAACTGTAAGCTCTTCCAGTAATTCATTAATGGTGATTTGGCAACTACTTACACAGTAGAGATCAGGCCTGCATTAGTCAGACAGACTGCGTGTTATTTGAAGGAGCATTCATGAATGAAAAATCTCATTTGTAGACAAATAAATGTTGTTTTTCCAGCTCGCTGCCAAATGAGGGGTTACTTAAAATCAATCAGAGATGAGGCAGTTGTCTTGAAGCTTCTATAAAATGTGATTTCTACAACTACTGATCTCTACAAAAATGTGATATAGGCTGAAATGAAGCTGTCAGAAAATACTGTTCATGTGATTGTGTGTGAGCATGTGTTACAATCACATACTTTTGAAGGAACCACATGAAAACATACATTCACTGTTATACATCCAGTATGGACTCAAACTCGTCTATTCTCTGCTTTGTGCTTCCTCTCTTAATCTTCCTGTAGCTGACAGTGTTGTACCTGCTAATAGGGCGGTTGATTTCCCCTTTGTCCTTTTCAAATAACTGGATTGACATCTCAACCGAAGGCTGGAAACCATCGCCCAATTCATCCTCCTCTTCATCTTTTTCTTCATTTGTATTTTCCTCTTCATCTCCATTACTCACAATTGTTTCTTCTTCATTCTTTTCTGCATTGTCCTCACTTTTTTCTTGTTCATTTGTATCGGAATTCTTCTCACTTGTATTCGCTGGCTCTTCAGGTGTCGTCGTCTCTTGAGGTGCTTCTTCTGTTTGACCATTCGTTTGCTGTTTCTCAGCTTCCGATGTGTCCTTGTCGTTCTGCTCCATTGATGTCACTTCCTGTGCTGAGATTTCAGCAGTTGTAAATTTATAAAGAAAAAGAGACAAATTCTAAGTTTGAATTCCAGTCCATTTTCCCCAAAAACCACCAAAGTGACGAGACGTAACATGCCTGTAATGATTGGTTTCTGTATTAACAAATGACTGTGCTGTCATTTCTCCAGTTTCCCTGATATGGTATTCAGATGGCAGTGCTTTCAATCAGCACCATGGGTTGTCATGTCCAAATTAGGAAAAGACTTTTGGTAAGTTCTCGAAAGGATAGGATGAGACTTGGCAAAAGATGCAAAGTTGTTTTGAGGAATTTTAATTTGATTTGACTAAACAAAGTGACCAACTGCTGGAATGAGAATTGCAAGTACACAATTCTTCTTGTATGTTTCAACAATGAGAGGCCTTACATAACGTGCAAGAAATGGGAAATTGTGCCATACGGTTACATAAATACAGAAAAGCGAGAATATCTGTCCAAGTAACCATGTCTAGACATCTTCCAGTTTACATTTTGGAAGCATGCATCATTGCTGTTCTCTTCATGATTGTATAATTTATCTAACCAAAATGAGTTTTTCCTCAATATAACACAACTTAAGCACTTTGAAGTAAACCAAACCACCTGAATGTGAAAAGTTAACTTATACCTTCAATGACTAGTCTATGGAGGAGATTTGCATTGATAGTACAAACGCAGAAACCAACCACCACACTGACGCAAACTCTAAAAGCTCACTGTACTCGCTCAATAATGCATCTTACCTTGTTCTTGTTCTTGTCTATGGCTCCTGCTGTTTGGGAAGGAGAGGAGACCTTGAAGGAGAAGTTATGCTCAGAAGTAGTCTCTTGTGGGGAGCAGTCTGTGCATGGCTGTGTCTGTGTCCCTCCCTTCACGACTCAGTGGAATCTACTGGCATTGGGTGACGCAGCCTCATTCTCATTCCCAGTGGCGAAGCTGATGAGAATTTCATCACCATTGTTTGGAGAACAGTGCTGACTGGCTTCTAATTCTGGGAGTGAGCATGGGATTGTGGGGTTAATGGGCTCATTTGTAAAGAGAGTTCGAAAAGTGGCACCAGCTTCTTTCTGGGAACATTCAAATATTTTGAAGACGTGAGATGTCTTGGCATTCTTCTACAGCAAAGTTTTGTTTTCCTAGACTTACATAAGGGTAACAGGCTTTCTGTCAGGTGGATATTGTATTTTCACAGTCCAACATTTCTGGAGATGCTAAATAGTCAACCTCCTGTTTGTGGAAGCAGGTTTCTATTTTCCCTTGTGAAAAAGAATTGTGCTTACTTGTACTGAATGTGCGCGTGTAGTGTACTTTATATAAGTTTATATACTTTAATTCTTAAAAAAAAAATATATATATATATAAAAACGACTTGCAGATAATATGTTATTGAAATAAAATGCCTCATAAATGTACTTAAAGAGAGAAAACTTTCATGATTCTCCCCTTTAGGCTTCTAATTCTGGGAGTGAGCATGGGATTGTGGGGTTAATGGGCTCATTTGTAAAGAGAGTTCGAAAAGTGGCACCAGCTTCTTTCTGGGAACATTCAAATATTTTGAAGACGTGAGATGTCTTGGCATTCTTCTACAGCAAAGTTTTGTTTTCCTAGACTTACATAAGGGTAACAGGCTTTCTGTCAGGTGGATATTGTATTTTCACAGTCCAACATTTCTGGAGATGCTAAATAGTCAACCTCCTGTTTGTGGAAGCAGGTTTCTATTTTCCCTTGTGAAAAAGAATTGTGCTTACTTGTACTGAATGTGCGCGTGTAGTGTACTTTATATAAGTTTATATACTTTAATTCTTAAAAAAAAAAAATATATATATAAAAACGACTTGCAGATAATATGTTATTGAAATAAAATGCCTCATAAATGTACTTAAAGAGAGAAAACTTTCATGATTCTCCCCTTTTAAAAGTGCATTGTAATAAAGCAAAATTAAAAGTGAAATCATTATCTTTTGTTGTGCTTTAAAGGAGCACACTTCATTTGATGTCTTGACTGCTCAATTATAATTATAACTGTAGAGTGTTATTTGATATTACATTTAAAGTTACATATTTTCATTAATTGCAAATATATTTGATTTTGAATACATGACATACACATTTCAATAGAAATGACATTAAATGCATGTATTTTCTTTTACTATAAATGCTTGTTGGTACATTCAGCAGTACACTTTCACCATATTTCAGTAAACCACTAGAAGTAATTATGAAATGACTTATAACAATCAATCAATCAATCAATCAATCAATCAATCAATAAGTCCTACTTATGTGTCAAAAAAGAAGCTCTAAAGTTAAACTGCATTAAGTATAAATTTAAACAATTAATCTGTGTTTGAACAAACAAAATAACTTGATAATAAAATATTATACATAATAAGCAAGACTTCAATAACTCTTTCAGTATTAATCTGATTAGATGAACATTCCCTGGGTTAGCTAAGAAATTAACTAGATCTTATGTTTACATCAGTTTGTTTGAGCTTTGTGACTGCCATTCAATACATACTGTAAAGATATTCTGCAAAGTCTTTTAAGAAGCTAAAAATTAGGTCTCAAAGAGGTTGAACACAAAATGAGGCATCAATTATACTGTCAATCAAATATTATAAAAGTGATGAGGACTCTAAGGTTCGTCTGTGATAGGGGATGTACTGTCAATGACGTGTCATTTCCTGCCAGGCTTAAGATCTATGAGGTGAATGAGAAGTGCATCTGGTGTTTTACCACTGACTGAGATGATATCTGGGAAACCTACGTGTTCAGCAGAAGCAAACAGCAGACAAATCAACTTATGCAAACCACACTCGGCAAGATTAAGTGTACAGTGAGAAACAGCCCAAGCAGAACCAGCCTTCACTAAGCACCAAAGCATAAAAGTTTATTAAAGAGGCATTATATAAATATGGAAATGAATAAATATTAGAGAACTTCATACATAAATACACAAAACACATTTAGACAAAATATCAATTAGATCAAATGAAATAAACTGACAATAAAAATGACTGCTTAATAGTGTAAAATACACAAATACATGGTTTAAATAAATTGTTAAATAATTCCATCTCTGTACATCAATATTTAGCTTTTCACTCATTAATTTAAACCACGATATAGCATTGTACAGAAAATATGCTGTCTGAACAGGGTCTCTCATGGGGTCTCCTTGAGCATATGGCCAGGATTTGGATGTTTCTGGATGTTTTCCACAGCACCTGAAAACAGGAACAGATTGTTTTCATTTACTGGCACTAAAAGTGTTTGTGTTATTGTGTAACTGAAATGAAAACCAATTTTAACTGAAAATATTTAATTTGGTGCTATTTTCAATTTTGTTTGTTTATTATTCATTATAAAGTATTATGCTGTTCTATGCAATATGTGATACTATGTTAATACTTTTTAACATATGTCATTCCTGACCAGCTGATCCCTTGTTGATGCACACTCTTAAAAATAAAGGTTCTTTATTGTCATCTATGTTTCACGAAGGACCTTTAACATCCATGGAACCTTTCCTTATAGTGGCAAAAGATCCGTTAAATTATTAAAATGTTCTTTACACTACGGAACCAAAATTTAAGGCATCACTGGGTATATGTATACAGAATACATTTTACTTAAATAAACCAGTTAATTTAGTTGTTTACAGTGTAGACTTGCTGTAGTTTCATATCAGAACAGTATCAAGAATTGTCAGCAAAGTTTCTTCCTGTAAAAGCAGAATTTCTACATGTAAGCACACACACTCCCCACATTCCGCCCACACACACACACACACACACAAACACACACACAGATCTTGTGATGCTTTTGTTGGCATCCTGAGGGCAGAGCGTGGCTTTATGGGGAAATGATGCGTTTCACTTGTGGGTAGTTTATGCCCACATCTCTCTGTCTTTCTCTCACACACAAACACACATTAACACACACCTCCTGCCAGACGCACTTCCTCTGCGATGAGTGTCTGAAGCTCTTCGCATTTCTCTGTAAACTGTTTCTGTAGTGTGGTGTAAATGTGAGGGGGAAACACAGAGAAAGAAAAAAACCTGTTAAGCATCAAGAAACCTGTTTTGTTCACGATTCACACAGTTACCCAATATACAACAACATTACCGTAAATATCTACTGATACACAAGTTACGCAAAACAGGAGAAGAATGATTATGTAGTGTTATAAAGATACATAATTAGGGTACAAAATGGGACTGAGGCTAATAAGAAATTTCAATATTTTGAAGAAAATCACCTGCAGGAGATAAAGCTTGCTAAGCAATTGTCTCTGCTTTTCTGTAGAACCTCTGATAATCTCCATCCTACAGTCAACAAAAGACAAGACAAAAAAATATATTCAGATCAAGCAGCACTTACAATCAAAACTAGGGTTAGACAGGGTTTTGACTGGTTCATTGAGCTTATTATATAATAACAATGATACTAATACTTTAAACTACTACTTTATTAAGACAGTATTAATACACATATGTGACTCTGGAGAACAAACCAGTCTTAAGTAGCACGGGTATATTTGTAGCAATAGCCAAAAATACATTGTATGGGTCAAAATTATAAATTTTTCTTTTATGCCAAAAATCATTAGGATATTAAGTATAAGATATTTTGTAAATTCCCTACCGTAAATATATCAAAACTTCAGTTTTGATTAGTAATATGCATTGCTAAGGACTTTATTTGGACAACTTTAAAGGCGATTTTCTCAATATTTAGATTTTTTTGCAACCTCAGATTCCAGATTTTCAAATAGTTGTATCTTGACCAAATATTGTCCTATCCTAACAAACCATACATCAATGGAAAGCTTATTTATTCAGCTTTCGGATGATGTATAAATCTCAATTACGAAAAATTGACACTTAAGACTGGTTTTGTGGTCCAGGGTCACATATTGTAATATTATAAAAATGATTGCAATCCAATAAACACTGCATTAAACATTTTAAATGAAATATAATCAAATGTGATGCTTTACACAGGGACCATTAATAAAAATGTGACTTCTACTTTTCTTATTAAAAATGGCATTAAAACATTTAATAATAACAATAATAATAATATAAAACCTTAATAAAAAGGTATGTGTGTGTATACATGTGGTGACCTGTTATATCTAATGAAATATTAAATATGTAAACTTTAACCATAAATTATGCTAATTCATATTTTTTCCTCGCAAACAATTAAAATACAAATATTTCAGTGAACAAACTAACATTTTTTTTACTGTAGCATTTTTATATTCTTTTTCCGTTGAAAATACATTGTATAACTGTACATTAATCATCAAAAATGTAACATAGTTGATAGTGTTGAGTCTTACATTAAGGTGGAGGACTTTTGAACCAGATTGTTGATCTGCTGCTGAGTGAATCCAGCAATATACACACTGTTGACCGTTATAATAACATCACCTGAGGTGAGAGACAAAGAGATTTTAGTAAGTATGAATGACACTGGTGCTCGACAGAAGTGAGCAGGTGTCTTGATAACTTACCTGTCATTAACCCACTACTCTCTGCCAGACTGTTCTCCTTCACCCAACACACACACGAGCCCTGCTCAGTACTGATGCTTCTCTCAACACTGCTTGTCTATGGACAGGGAGTAAAGACCCAAGCAATTCATCATCCAAAATCCAATTATCCCCTGACAGATAATAAGCCCTCAGGCAGGCACGTAATGCTTGAATGAATGGAGAAAAAAGTATAAGAAGAGTATGAGAGAGAGAGGGTGGGTGGGTAATGAGGTTACCTGGATGTCAAACCCAAAAGTTTCATTTTCTTTTCTTCTTAAATCAACACTTCTCCTGTTAACCAAGAGACATGAGCAAGAGAGAGTCAGACCAAATTTGAGTTGTGCATGTGGGTTGACAAGCTTAGGATGCAACTTAATAACTTTTTTACCGTATATACTGCTCTGTTGTGTTGTCTTGGAATTGCACTACCTACAAAATAACATTCCACATTGTTAATTATTAAAATAAGCAATTTAGTAGGTTAATATGTTATTTACATAGCCTACTAAATATTAGTAGAAACCTACATGTTCAGCAGAATATTACTAGAGAAATATCAAATCATATTAAACATCAAACAAAATGAATATGTCAAAAATAAAGCAAATACGAAAATAGTCACTTACGTTTCTTTTATGACTTTTTCCATCTTTGTTCCTGATGGTTTTATAATCGGTAGTGTTCTTCTGGGTTTTGTGTCCAGTGTTCAACAGGTTGCTTGTCGCACAGCTGCTTTTTCCCAGCAGTTTTCTTATGTATTGAACAGATGCTGTCATCTTCAGAGTGTGTGCTGGCATCTCTGCTGCTGAGAACGTCGCTCTCTCTGGTTTTTATGCACGCCTTCTCACTGAACGGATGTCACGTAACGTGACCACAGTAAAGTCCCCAGGGCTTCACTACAAACTACAGAATGATTTTACTGTAAGTCTGTGTCAGCGTACATTTATGGAGAATCATGTTTAAAATAAACAAACAAAACGTAGACCTACATAAATATGGATGACATTGTCTGCCAATTTAAAAAACATAATTGTACAGGTATGATAAAAATGAAAATTATAGTTGAATTTCATTTCTCATAATGAAATTGTATATGTGCTATTCATTTTTTTATCATTAAATTCATTTATTTAAAATGGTCAAAAAAGCCTTCCGTACATTAAAATAGAAAAAGAGAATTTTTAAAGATTTCAATTCACTTTCATTTTATAATAAAATACAGTAAAGTAAAATAATCAAATAAAAAGGCAGAATGTCTTTTTCCATATAGGTTAAAACATGAATAAAGAATTGATGAAGATGAACAGTATGGAGGGCCAAATGACTCAAAATCAAATCATTAAATAAATATTGGAATATATAAATCAATGGTTAAATACATATTTAAATAATTAAATGCATAAATATTCATTCATTCGTTTATTCATTTCTTCCACATTTCATTTTCAGGGTAATGGTTGTCGAGACGTGTGAATGAATGAATGAATGAATGATTTATTTAAAATGGTCAAAAAAGCCTTCCGTACATTAAAATAGAAAAAGAGAATTTTTAAAGATTTCAATTCACTTTCATTTTATAATAAAATACAGTAAAGTAAAATAATCAAATAAAAAGGCAGAATGTCTTTTTCCATATAGGTTAAAACATGAATAAAGAATTGATGAAGATGAACAGTATGGAGGGCCAAATGACTCAAAATCAAATCATTAAATAAATATTGGAATATATAAATCAATGGTTAAATACATATTTAAATAATTAAATGCATAAATATTCATTCATTCGTTTATTCATTTCTTCCACATTTCATTTTCAGGGTAATGGTTGTCGAGACGTGTATAAAATGAATGAATGAATGTATGAACGAACGAACGAATGAATATTTCTGCATTTATTTACGCATTTATAGCCAATATGTATTTAATTATGTATTTAACGATTTATTTATATATTTCAACATTTATGTAATGATTTAATTTTGAGTCATTTGGCCCTCCATATTTAAACGGTCTTCAAACAAACAAACAAATAAACAAACAAATAAATAAATAAGAGGATACGTGCTAATGTAAATGTTAATAACAAAAGTTGAATAAAAATCTAAAACCATATTAGCTAATCCTTACTTCTCAATGATATACTTCATGACATGCAAATTCTTGCGTTAGTCAAAGCTGTGCTGTGGGCTGTGTGGAGGAGGTGTCCACGCTTCTTGAAGATCATTCGCTATCCAGTAGGTGGCAGGAAAGGCGTCTCCGGGTTCAGTGCGCAGTTCAATCTGATGAAGAAGAGGAATCTAGGCGTCCCCCTTCTGTGCGCTGGTTGACACGACGTAAGCTTTGTCTTTTCCACATCTTTTCGTAGCCTCAGGTATATCAATGTTCCAATCTTCCAATGTTGTTTTTATCTGCAGTGTCTGTGAGCTCTATTTTTTAAATCTGCGCTGATAATTGGCTTGTCTTGTACAGATGATGATTGTGGTCCTGATGCTGCTTTTGTTACTAGGCGACAAGGTTGACACGAGAGCTAAATGATATACAAGAAAATCCTGAGAGAAATAGCTCAAATTACCACAGTGTTTTAAAACATGAATGGTAATAGATACGTTTATTCGCTTTGGTAAGGTAGCTGTAGATACACGGCTGTCTACACGAAGAAATGCTCAATATGTCGAGCTGACACTGACATTTAATTCGCGCTTTAATTGGATAATTTAAGCACGCGTTAAAGGACAATAGTTCGGCTGACCTTTTATTTGGAATAAATGCAAAGGACTTAACTTTGTCTTTCTGCAGTTGCAGAGCTATCAAACCACCACTGACCACTAAGACCCCAGTCATGGCTGCCGAGCCCAACTATCGCCGGACAAAACCAGGTAACGGTCCTTCTGAGAAGCGCATTATACTGTTATCTTCTTTACAGACCACCTTAGGCCTACGTTGCTGTACACATGAATATTGTTTTCACAAATATTTTTTGATTAAGGCAAATAATTGTACAAATATTATAATTTCATTGTAGGTGTTAGGACAGCTAACCTTGCTAGTTCAAATGGAGCTGTTGGACCCTCATCACAGATTCCGGGTTTATCTGCGACTGCCGACACCACTCCTCAAGAAATAACTAAAGGAGGAAGACGCGTAGGAATTCAAGCCACTGACTCGGATTATGTTAAACTTGCAAAACAAGGAGGACAGAGGGGTAAATGTGTTACACTAGAATGTATTGTTTTCAAATTTATCTTCAACTTTGCCATGATTTATGATATGTTCAGAATAGCGTCTTATGCACTTGTCTCACTATTTATTAAAGAAACTAAGGCCTCGTCCACATGGAGACGCGTTTAGCTGTATACATTTTGTATTGTATAGGCGTTTCGTCCACACGGATCCGGCGTTTTGGGAAAGTGAAACCGATATTTTTTGAAACCGGGTCCCAGAGTGGATAAATCTGAAAACGCTGCCCTTGCGTTTTCGTGTGGACAGCGAATGCGTATATTTTCTGAAACGAAGACGTCACCAGTCTACGTCTCGCCCCTAGTCAGACACCACTACGTCACGGCAACAAAAACATGAACAAACACTGAACGATTGTCTTTTTATTAACTAACATTAACACAGATTAATAAATGTATCGTTCCATGTTCGTTTGTGTACCGCGCTCAAGGTTTATGCGCATTAGGGATGGGCGTATCGATCCTAAGTATCGATATAATCGATACTGACCCGAGTATCGAAAGTATCGATACTCAAACTAAAAATATCGATACTAAGGTGTGTTTTATTTACCAGTGATTTTGTTTATTTAAAATAATTATAATAATAATGCGTACAAATGCATTGAATTGGACGAATAACCTTTGTTCGCAAGTAATTGTGTAGGATAGAACTATTTCCCTGCTCATCTGAACACACGCAAATGTTGCAAGACAGAACCAATCCATCACAGAGAGCGTTCACTCATTTCTAAAAGTGCATTCACACAGGGCTGCGTTTCCCAAAAGTATCATAAGAAAGCATTAAAGCTTTTGGGAACGGCGGCCCTGAACAATGCTTGTCAGAGGACAGAAAAAAAACATATGTTTGAGTTATTTCACAATAAACAAATTGAAATCGTAGCCTACATAGTTTGTGCAATTACATTTATTTAAATTGAACGTTGAAAGATAATATAGATCGTGTTCTATTCTGTAATGTTAATAGAAATCATACACTGTCAGAACAAAAAGGTTGCATTTTATGCATGCAACAGCCTGTCACTGGCAGTCCCTTATGATAATGAACCATGGTTTTACTAAAGTGATCGTAGTTCCACTGTAGTATTTGTAGATTTGAATCATGTGTAAACAAAAAAACACATTTGAACCATGTGTAAACAAAAATATAACCTAATAAATTACAATTAAGGCGTATTGAATGTTAAAATGTGTTTTAAACAAAGTTAAGTGGTTATCATTACCCATTTTACACTTAGTAATTTAATAATTTAATACATTTCATTATTTAAAAGTTTAGTTCAGAAGTATCGTATCAGTATCGATATCTACGATACTGCCTTGAAAAATATCAGTATCGTATCGAAAACAAAATAAGTGGTATCGCCCATCCCTAATGCGCATAGTCCAAGTCTTCTTCTCCGTTTTTAGTGTATCTCTGTGGCAGAATTACAGTGCCACATACTGGTCTGGCATGTATACTACATCGTTTTGTGTCGGTTTTGTGGTTTCGTGTGGACGCAGATATTTCTTGAGACGAGGGGAAAAAAAAGATCAGATAGGGAAAGCTCTGGCTTCGTGTGGACGTAGCCTAAGTGAAGTACATACGTTTAGAATGACCTACTGCTTTTGCACAAATGTTTAGTAAAGAATACAAAGTGATTGTGACAAATTATCTTGAAGTATTTAGTGACTTATTGTTTGATACAACAACCAAAAGTTAAGACATTTGTACACAAAACTGGATTACTAAAAGTGAAATCAGCTTGATAAACACAAAAAATCCTTAAAGAAATAGCTCAAATAACAACAGTAGATTTGATTTGATTTATTTTAATTATGCCCTGCTTATCTTTCATTTCTCCCATAGGCTTGCTGAGTCACGATGACCCTGTGGAAACAAAACCTAACAGTTCCTACAAACCCTCTAATTGGTTCTCTGGCACACCTGATGATCAAGAGAGGTGAGAATCTATCAGCCCATAAGGTATTGTTATGAACAGAAATAATAAATGAAGCCAAATGCTTCGGAAATACATCATTCTGATCAAAAGAATCATCCTAGACAGATTATAAGAGATCATCTCAGTTTATTACAAATTATTTGGCTGGAGAAAGAAGCTATGAATGTGTCAATTACTTCTGGTATTTAAAGGAATTCAGGCCATCCAAGCTGTAGACGAGTTTGTTTATTCATCAGAACAGATTTAGCATTACATCACTTGTTCAACCTATGGATCCACTACAATGAATGGGTGCCGTCAGAATGAGAGTTCAAACAGCTGATAAAAACATCACAATAATCCGTTAGTAATCCACTTGCCTCCAGTCCATCAATTAATGTCTTGTGAATAAAGCTGCATGTTTGTAATAAAGAAATGAATAATTCAGATGTTTTTAACTTCAAACTGAGTCCTCTATCGATTAATATTGCTATCTCCAGTGAAAAAGTTGTCTCGTCTAAATCAGGAGAGAAAGATGCACAGATCATGCAGATCAGTTTACAAGTGAAAACTAGGGATGCACCGATACTGGTATCGGTATCGGGCCCGATACTGAGCTCCTGTACTTGTACTTGTTAA